TTCAAGTTCAAGTTCTAATTTCAAGTTCAAGTTCAAATTCTAAGTTCAAGTTCAAATTTATGATATTATGTATGCATTTGTATTTCTATAGTTTGTTAGTCGCCAAAGTAGTCAAACTAGATAAATTAACGTCTACACATATCATATTTATGATCACTTGATGTATGTATTATGTTTCTATAGTTTGTAGTTACCAAAGTGGCCAAACTAAAATGTTTAAAACTATTCACATGCACAAAATTTTATGATATTATGTGTGCATTTGTATTTATAAAGTTTGTTAGTCACCAAAGTGGCCAAACTAGTAATGGTTAAGAAAAATGTGTCTTCATAAAATTGTCATTTATCTATGAAAGTTAATGAAATGCCTATATTGAAAATAAATAGATAAATTGGCTTTTCACTATTGCTAGAACTTAAGAATTTACCCAAAGGTGAATTAATCATTCTACGAATAGTGAACATTATGAGTGTTTTACTCGAAAAATATAAATAAAAGAAAATGACTACGTTTCGAAAAATCGAACAAACTTATGGTTTAAGAGAAATCAAATTTCCAAAAGAACAGAGTCGCCACTTAATTTTTTAGTAAAAAAAAACGTAAGGTTTTCAAAAGATTTAAACAGATAAAATCAATTGAAAAAGCGTTCGAGTTCAATGTACATTCCGAGAAGGTGTTAGGCCCTCGGAATGCCCGCTAACTCGCGGTTGACCGACGATTTGACTAAAATGACTTCAATTAATTTTGAGAAAATAATAACTAAGTAAAAGACTCATTTTTTATTAATAACTTATTTATTTATTACTATTATTTTTTTTTGAATTAATTATTTTGAAGGGGAAATAAACTAAGGGGGGGGATCCTTCTAAAGGGAAGTAATTCAAGTTGGCAAGACTAATATAAAAATAAGAACTAAATAATAAAATATATATACTTTAATTTGGAAAAAAATCAAATGAAATGACCATTCTCGGGAATTTAATTAAATCAAACCATAAGATAATTAAAGTGTTAGTCAAATACAATAAAATAAGTAAGAGAGGGAAAGGAAATATTCAAATTTGGACCTATTATTGCCCAGAAACACTGGGCCAAAGATGCTGATTTTTGAATTTTAAATCAATTCTCATTTTTTTGTATACACAAGTTGTATATCAGTGCATACAACTCGTATATCAGCCCCGTTTCCTGTATCTTGGGCTGTATACCGAATGTATGCAACCCACTTCAACTTCCAGCACCTGTATTTCAAATTTATGTCTAGTATTTTTGCATTCGACCTGTATATCATTGTATACTCTGCATATATTTGCATATTCCTCTGTATATAACGTCTATACAACCTGCTTTTCAGACTTCCGGGGCCTGTTTCAGCTTCTTTTTCACCGAATATGTGAGGATGACTCGAACCGACTCAAGGATATGCAAGAATGGAGTCCAAAGTGAACTCGGATTGGTATCACATGCAATGATAATAAAATGAAAGATTAGCACTTGGGAGTATTCAAATTATTTTAAGTTTAAAATTAACCTCAAGTTTTGCAAAAAAAAGAACAAATAAGAAACGGTATGTTATTAGAGGAGACAGTAGCTCTCACATGAGGAAAACAACAATAAGTAGCTATGAGCTTATACTCAAATTTAAACATTATGTCTAACATGTTATTACTTCATTATTAAAGAGGATCAACATGTTTCATACAACTAAATGACAACGAAGGAGGACTACTAAACTTGCTCATATTCTCACTAAATCAGCACTTAGACACCACCCCATCCTACACAAGATAAATTCAAAGCTAGCAATATGATTTTAGCATTTTAACTAAAGTGAATAGAAAGTGCAACCACCAAACAGGGAACTGAAATCCAACTCGATACAGAAGCATTCGGCAACAAAAGATATCATGATAAATCCTAGTTAAAGAAGGCAACAGAACACACCATCTCAGACTAGCAAACAATGTACTTTCGACTAAAATTTAGACAAGACGGAGGTATAAACTTGATTAAAGCAGGGTATGCTAGGCAGTGGCACGATCATGGGATTCGGAAATGAGGAAAACCCGCTGCTACGGCCCATCAAACAACAGCTAAAACAACATACAACTTCATATTCAAAGATTATTTTTTTTTTTTTTTTTTTTTAGATTCTACCCTCATTTCAAAAGGAAAACAAATATCATTAATAGTAATAAAGTGAATGAACCCTGACATTAAGATAACGAAAAAAATAAGAAATTACGAATTCAAACATCAAAAACAGGTAAACGAGAGGCGAGCAATGAAACATATTCAAAGTGGAGAAACACCAACTGCAAAATGGCAAAGAGAAAACTTCGAACCAACGCTAAGAGTAAGAACTGAGGCCATTTGAAGATAGAAATTTCATAAGGCAAACAAAACTCGAAACAACAACACCACAGAGAATATTGCAAAGGCAAAGTATTACCTTCTTCTAGGCAGCGACTGAGACCAAGACGAGCAGGGGAGCAACCTTCCACTATCCTTCTATTGTGCGAGCTCAGATTCAAACAGCAAGCCCCAAGAAAATTTGAACGAAACCGAAACAGTGACTCAAGAATACTTTAGTTCCCTAAGGTATTTTGTATCCACCTACTATTGCACATTGGCTCGGGCGCTTTGGGAGAAGCAGTGGTAATGCAGGGTGTAAACGTAACGTCTCCTTTAAAACTGCATCAAGATAATGCAGATTTGGTAAATGGGATTCTTCAACAATGTTATTCATCCCTACAACATGTTTCAATTCCTGCTGCACCTTTGACATTATCTCTGGATTATTCAGAAGCTCAGACATTACCCACTCAACTGTCGTGATTGTAATGTCAGTCCCACCAATCACAATGTCCTACAATGCAGAAATATGAAGACAGGGGAAATGAAATTAGTCATTGCAGGAATTTTGTAATGCTTGGTTCTACACGTAGGCAGAGGTGGATCCAGGATTTTGAGTCTATGGATTCTGAAACACAACTCTTTTTGTTTATTGAGTTCTCGATAAATTATTTATACATATTAAGTGAATTTCTTACTATAAGTACATAGGTCAGGTCAAAGCTACTAGTTCTGCCGAACTTGTAACCAGGGGCAGAGCTACTGTATTGGAAGGGGGTTCAGGCGAACCCCCTAGCTTTTCCGTAGACTCTATATTTGTATAAAAATATGAAACAAAATGGATATATACATTTCCTGCGAACCCACAAGCAAGAGTGAGCTGGTTGGCCCAATGGTGTTTGTGCACCCTGAGAAGTCATTTGGCTCTCTGGTCGTGGGTTCGAAACTTAGTAGTCACGATTTATTTTTGGGATAATTTCGTACGTGCTTTTATATAAAAAGCTTTTTTTTAAAAAAAAATAGAAAAATAAACCTACTTAGTAGGCACAATTTATTTTTGGGATAATTTCGTACGTGGTTTTATATAAAAAGAATTTTTTTTAAAAAAAATAGAAAAATAAGGATTAACTAAATTATACGTGGGTTTAATATATATATATATATTTTTTTTTTAAAATAGGAAAATAGTATTTGTGTTGTACTCTTAAACAATATTTGACTATTGATTTCTACTGAAACATTCAGAAAAGTCTAACTCAAATCTTTTTTTTTCAAAAGCTAGCGTTCTAACTTTTATTATTAATCTGATTGTTACCATTCGAAATCTGGCCTCCGGTATGTACTCTTTCTTTCTCTTTCATTTTTTTTCTTATTTGTTTACTGTTACACGGTATGATTATTTATTCAAAAAAAGATTTTTAATCTTTGATTCTAGGGTTATCCCATATATTGATAATTTATTATATTAAAATAATTGTTGTTTGCTTTTCAAAATTTTAACTTTTGGTGGCAGGGAGTAATGGTTCAAGGTGATAGTGAAACTAGTAAAATATTTATTTTAGGTGTCAAAATATTAATGGTGAATTTAATAATTTTAACCTCACTTAGAAAAAAAAAAAAAGAAGAAGAAAAAGAAAAAAAAAACCCTCACTTAGAACAATATTGAAGATTATAGTAAAAATGTTCAAAATTTGATGGTTGTTATTTTGAGTTAAGATCGTTGTTCTTTTATAAAATTTAGAACCCACTAGTCTGAAATCCTGGCTCCGCCTCTGCTTGTAACTTCTTGTGGGTCTGCCCCTGGGGGTGGAGGTGTTTGGATGCAAACATTAGTGGCTGCTTCTACGTGACCAATATGTGATTCGAGAATGGATTTGAGTTCTTAACTTAGCTGCTCAAATCACATAATTAGCTAAAATAGTCTTAAAAAGTTCGTATGACTGACAAAGCAATATAGAAAAGATAAAGGGACTATTTAACTTACCACCAAGATGGCCTTAATTTTCACCAAGTCCAGTGATATACCAATGTCTTTCTGCTCCATTAGCTCTAACAGGATCTGTATAAGATGTTTCTTCTCATTCCTCTGGATTTCACCCTATCTTCGGTCCGAAAGCATCTTCATGCATTCACTTATGGCAGGGTCCAATATACTATCAAACAACTTCAAAAGAGCCTCCATTTCTTTCTGTATTCCTTGTAAGTCAAACCTGGCAAGCATAGGGAAGAAGTCTGATATGTTTGGCTTTCCCATCACTTGACCATATTTCATCACCAATTCCCTGAATTCAGTTCCATCCTTACTATGCTTCTCCATCTCCTCGACAAATTTGCTGCCAAAGATATACTATATAACGACTACATTCATTTCAGTTACAAAGGCCAATTCACCAATGTCAACGGGGTAACCAATATTGGTATGCACATTTCTGATTGTCTTTCTGACCTCGTGTCTCCGAAGGCTATAACAGGCCTCAAGGTTCCTGTTGCTTAGCATCTCCCTTACGAACAGTTTGCGCATCTCACGCCAGTAGGATCCATAGAGAATGGATGTATCCAAGAAGGGAGAGATGTATCAGAGAGGGATAGGACATCCGGATACATAGAGGTGAGACGTATACGAGAGGGAAGAGATGTATCAGAGAGGAGAGGGATGTATCTGAGAGGGGATAGGGATGTATCAATGAGAGGAGAGTGATGTATCTAAGAGGGGATTTTTGAAAAAATTTTAAATGATAGAAAACTTTAGAGATTATAGTAAAATATGATGTGTATTTATGTAATTTTTCCAAATTAGAAAATAGACGATAAAATTTAAAGATCAATTTTTAAAATTTAATCCAAAATATATAGTCAATACTAGCTTAATTAGATACAAACTCATGACACTATAATTTGAATTGTAACTTTTATTTTTACTGTATAGTTTTTTTTTTTTTTTAATTTCTAAAAAATCTAATACTTAAATTATTAAATAGGTGGGCCTCTCTAAAATGGAAAAGAAAAAATTACATAAATACACATCTTATTTTACCATAATATCTAAAATTTCCTACCATTTAAAAAATTTACAAAACTCTCTTCTCGAATACATTCCTATCCCCTCTCGGATACATACCTCCTCTCTTCCCTATACATCTCTATCCCCTTTCGAATACATCTCTCTCATCTCGGATACATGATACATTCTTCTCATTAAGTAATGTATCATTCACAATTCATGAGCTAAGTATCTGCAAGTTTCCTGATATAATCAAGATCCTACAATTTTAAAGGAATTTTTATAATTTGAGGAAAAAAAATAGGAATAAAATATAATTAGTTCTTTAACACTATGAAATTTATGTAATTTTTAGGTTGGAATAATAGGATCCACAAGAAATCACTAACCACAGACCACAGTGATATATTTGAGCCATAAATATTGACTAGTGTCAGAGAGTGTTGTCAGTGTGGCCCATGATCACTTCATCACATTTCACGTGGTGGGAATATTGATGGCCTAACTAACTCCTTTAACAAAGTTGATCTTCTCAAAGAAGAAAATCCATCACAAAACAACACCAAGAAAGAAAAAAAACTAAAAGGGGTGTTACAACTAGTTTACTTGATCTTTTGATGATCTACCTAAGCTTATAAGAAATGCTTATATATATTAGGATCAAATGTTTATTATCATATTAAAATGTTATAACATACTTCTTCCATTCCATATTAATTTAATTTTTGAGGTGTTTCACATTTTTCAAATTAACTTAATTGTTCAATTTTCAAGACTATTTTTAGAGTGTTCTTCCAATTTTACCCTGCATTAGTTAGTATTGGAATTAGTGATTAATTAATATTTAGTTATTTTAATCATAAATTTGATAATAATTAATAAGGGTAAAAATGGAAAACTATGTTCAATTTATGTCTTGATCTACTTTTCTTAAAAGGTGTGAAACACCTCAAAAATTAAATTAATATGGAATGGAGGGAGTAATAACTAATTCCAATACTAACTAATGAAGGGTAAAATTGGAAAAATATTCTAAAAGTAGTCTTGAAAATTGAACAATTAAGTTAATTTGAAAAATAGAAAATACCTCAAAAATTAAATTAATATGGAATGGAGGGAGTAATAACTAATTCCAATACTAACTAATGAAGGGTAAAATTGGAAAAATATTCTAAAAGATAACAATACGTTATTATTTTTTAATCATCATGTTCAATTATAACTTTGATCTGGATCATCTCGATCTATCACTTCGCCTCGATATAAGAAGGATGTTTCTGTTATTCAATAGTTTTCGCTAATAATTTTTTGAACTAAAGTGATAGTTCAAATGGGCCGGAGGGAATAGCCCGTGAAAAATCTCATTCACCAATTTCATAAATATCTTATCTTAATCAAACCTTCTTTAATTTCCATTTAGTAATGCATGGGTTTCCACAAATGGTGGAAATCGAGATGCAAGTTACTCATTTGTGGATGTATGTTGTAATTGGGATTGGAAAAATCATTTTTGCCAGAAAATTTGGCCAGAATGATATTTTATATATGTTATTTTACCCTTTTAAACATTTTTATCCTTTTAACTTTAATATCTTTTAATTAAAAAAAAAAAATCAGTTTATTTAAAATAAAAAAAATATTATAGTTTTTTTAATTTTTTGACCAAATTTTCTGGTCATTTACCACTTCCCAGAAATTTAGACACATCAAGCATAGCTCAGATTCCATCATAGGACCCCACCATCAATATTCAGTCCAACATCAAGCATAGCTCAGATTCCATCATAGGACCCCACCATCAATATTCAGTCCAACATCAAGCATAGCTCAGATTCCATCATAGGACCCCACCATCAATATTCAGTCCAACATCAAGCATAGCTCAGATTCCATCATAGGACCCCACCATCAATATTCAGTCCAACATCAAGCATAGCTCAGATTCCATCATAGGACCCCACCATCAATATTCAGTCCAACATCAAGCATAGCTCAGATTCCATCATAGGACCCCACCATCAATATTCAGTCCAAAAAGTTAAAAAAGTATTTTGGCTTCTACGAAATTTTATGTTTTTTTAAAGAACTTTCCAATAAAGATATTTCATAACTTTAGTTATTAAAGGGTGATTTAATAGGGTGTGTCGAAATAGTGTGAAACTGATATATTAGTACTATTAGCGGAAACGTGAAATTAAAGAACAATAATATTTAACGTGGTTCGGATCAAAATGATTCTATGTCCACCAAAGAACAACTGCACCAATATTTATTTCACTCTGCAAAGAATACAAGTGAAATACTACGAGAGAGAACATCAAATGCCTTAGAAGGTGAGAAGGCAAGTGAAAGAATGATTTGAAAATGAATTAAGAGCTACCTATTTATAGGAATAAATTCTTCCTATTGATGTCATCCATGACATCACTATGTGCAAAAAATGTCAAGGTTAAACATGTAAACCCATTTTATGGTTTACCTAAATTTCACCTACCAAGATACTATCTTGACTTTTATTTTTGCACTAATTATCTTCCTACCAAATCTTCATATTAATTCATCTTCCATTGAGTTTGATTCCACAAGAACCAAACCAACTCTTTCAATCTCCACCTTGGTTTGCGTTCCGAGCATACATATAAACAACTCCGACCAAAACTTCTAAGCTTACTGGGCAATCTCGTTGTAAGAAACACGAAGAATCAAACATTTGTTGAAGATACTAGCTCCACCTAGCAGTTGTTCTCTCAGAGTTGCATCAATTGATGCATACTCCCGCCAAGTCCTTGTAGTGTGCAAACTTGGCAAGCGGGACTATCTTAGTCAACATGTCTGCAGCGTTATCGTCTATGATAACCTTCTCAACCTTGATAGCTCCTTCTTCTACGACATCTCGAATAAAATGGAATCTGACATCAATGTGTTAGGTGCGTTCGTGAAATCTTTGATTTTCAATCAAATGAATAACACTTTGACTATCACATCTTCAAGTTGATTCCAGCTGAATCAAACTCAATTTTTCCACCAAACCTTTCAACCAAATAGCTTCTTTCACTGCCTCTGTTGCGGTCATATATTATGCCTCTGTTGTAGACAAAGCGACAATCGACTGTAAGGTCGATTTCCAACTAACGGCACTGCCAACGAGAGTAAAGATGTATCCAGTTGTGGACCTCCTCCTATTAATATCCCCTGCATAGTCAGAATCTACATAATTGAGAATTGAAATACTTTCACTTTTCCGGAAGGTTAGGCCAACATCAGGAGCTCCTTTGAGATATCTCAATATCCACTTCACAGCTTTCCAATGCCTTTTTCCTAGATTTGCCACGTACCTGCTTACCACACTTACATATTGAGCAATATCTGGACGTGTGCACACCATAGCATACATAGTGCTACCAACTGCGCTCGCATAAGGAACCTTTGACATATGCTCCACCTCATCCATTGAACTCTGAAAGCTTGAAATGAGAAGCTAACGGTGTACTTACAGGCTTGCTCATATGCATATTGAATCTCTCAAGAACATTTTCGATGTACCTCTTTTGAGAAAGATGTACAACACCGTTTTTTCTTGAAATCTCTATTCCAAGGATTTTCTTTGCAACTCCCAAATCCTTTATGTCAAATCCTTGCTCAACAGTTTCTTCAAAATATTTATCTCTGTGATGTTGTTAGCAGGAATAATCATATCATCAACATACAACAATAGATAAATTATAGAGTTACCAGACATCTTCTTGTGATACACACAACTATCTAATGCACTCCTCGAAAATTCATGTGCAGTCATGCATGCATCAAACCTCTTGTACCACTGCCTAGGGGATTGCTTCAAACCATACAAAGACTTCTTCAGTTGACATACATGATCTTCTTTTCCCTCAGCTAGGAAACCTCCAGGCTGATCCATATAGATTGTCTCTTCTAGATCACCATGTAAGAAAGCAGTTTTGACATCAAGATGTTGAAGTTTTAAATCAAATTGTGCAACCAATGCTAGTAACACATGAATTGAGCTATGTTTCACGACTGGAGAGAAGATCTCATTGTAGTCAATTCCCTCCTTCTGGCTGAAACCCTTTGCAATCAATCTCGCCTTGAACCTAGCATCTTCTACTTCTGGAATACCCTCTTTCTTTCTGTAGGCCCATTTGCATCTAACTGTCCTCTTCCCCTTTGGCCTTTTAACTAAGACCCATGTCTCATTTTTGTGAAGAGACTCCATCTCTTCCATCATGGCTAACTACCATTGTGCAGCATCTTTGCAAGAAGTTGCTTCAACATATGAAGAGGGCTCGAGATCCTTAATCTCTTCTTCTGCAGCTACGAACTCATGTGCAATCAGATTTTCTTGCTCTGTAAGATGTTTCGATTTCCGCATCTGCCTTTCGTCCTTTCCCTTCGCAATTATGTATAGTTCATTGACATCAAGTTCTTCAAGATCTGCATCTTTTGACTCATCAATTTGAGTCTCTTGATCCTGTTCCTTGGTAAGCTCCACTGGTAGCTCCACCTGCTCGTTGTTCTCGTTTCTTGATAACTCCACAGAAACTTT